GTTCAAGCTTCGGCAGCTCCAAACCAACATCCTCATCCTCCTCCTCTCTATGCTCCAACAGGTTATTCCATCTACTCCTTAATATATACTTTAAAGTCAGATCCGCTGCATTTTCTACTTCCTGGGAAATCATAGCAAGGAGAGGATAAAGGTAAAAGGGAAAAGGAGTTCTCCTCTATCTGTTTTTCCTAGTTCTACGTAATGCCGTTTTCTGCCGACTTCAAACATTTTACCCCCCCTTGAGGTATCAGCAGCACTAGAGGCCAACTGCTTTGCATCTCCTTTGCCTCCCAAGACAGTATCTACACAAACATTTCAAAGAAACATTATCTTTCACATATCTTTCATGAGTCCCATATCGTATGTTGCACACATTTTTCCTTCCCTTTTCTGTCTCCACTGGCCAAAAATCTTACTCACATTTGAAAAGAAGATCTTATTACGAGTGATAGCATCGTTCCTCATGTAGGAAACCTGCTCTTCGGAAAAGTGGTCATTATTATGATGTTGGAAGTGTTAATTAAAGTCGCAACGTTCTTGTGATGGATGATTCTATTACCGCAGTCATCATACCCTAGAACAATAACTTACTGCTTCTCAGGCCGCAGTGTCACATGACATTTGCTCTTCCACCACTCCTCAGTCCATACAGTTTCATCACAGCAGAGGTCCCCATACGTTTGTGGTTTGGGAGCTACTGTACAAATGACCAGCACAAAGTGATCTGCCTACATTGACAACAATATATATATATATATATATATATATATTTACCAATACCAATATTTACCAATTTATATATATATATATATATATATATATATATACACACATATATATATATAGTGTATATATAAGTATAATATGTATATGCATATATATAAATATATATAGGTAAATATATATTGAAATATATAAATATATATATATATCAATTTAAATGCAACATATTTTATATATCTATATATGTTTGAGTACTGATTAATTGCATGTAGCCCTATGGCACAATATTATTCAATTCTTATACTCAATGGTCACTTTTACTATTATACATAGTATAATACATAGTACCCAGTACAGTATATAGTAGAACAATCCCACTCTGTTGAGAATTGGGAAATGGTTCAGGGTGTACGCCACCCTTCACCCAATCCATGCTTGGTTTGGTTCCTAGCTCCCCCCTGTAACCCTGAAAATAAATAAGTGGTTGAACAACAACAACAACAACAAAACAAACGTCAGAAAAGTTTTTCAGAGAAAAAAAACCCACAAACAAAACAATGAGTCTTCTAATTATGAGTCATTTTTGTCTGTTGATGCAGTTCACCTTCAACTCAAACAAACTCTGTTTTTTCAAAGCAAATTCCCCCAAAAAAGGAGAAATTGATTTCTACTGTCTGAATAGTGACAACGCTTTTTAGGGTGTGCATTACTTTTTTGACTTTTTTATCTCTAGACAGGATGTGAACTCACATCCATCACATCAAATAAGAAACAGGAATTATTTATACCTTATACAAAGCTAAATAGTAAATAAGTTAATATTAGTGATGGGCAATAACAGTTACTTTTTGGCTTTTTTTTTTTTTTTTTTTACCAGTATCGATATTGATTTTTTTTAACCACAACAATAATGTATACAATCTCTTCTGGTCAGTGGTCAAGTGACTTGACTGACTTGAGTGACTTGATTTGTGGAAGTTACACATGACATTTTTTTAAATTTAATAATTAGTCTCAATACTTTATGAGTGTAATCTATAGTCAATTGATATTCGTGTGAGTACCGATATATCAATACCAAGGTATTGAGACTCCCATCAATGGTAAATATACATACATCGTGGAGAGCCATGGGTTTTAATGAATGTTCTGTTGAAGAAGAATCCCACGTCTTTTACTAATTTTCTCTCTCTGTCTTTGATCCTCGGCACTTAGAAATCCCAACATCAACACTATCACACATTCTTTGGGACTTTGCCTTAAAAGCCCAGCAACAACCAGCTCATCAATGGTTTCACAATAATGTTAACTATTTAGCCTAAGTGCCTGCTGGAAACTCTGTACTTCAGGGACACATTGTTGTGAAGTTGAAAGAGTGAACAAAGGTCCTGAGTCTCTAGTACTCGGGGCCCTGGGATGGTCACCTTTTAGCATTCTAAGCGGTTCTGACTCAGAAATGAATCACCGCAACCGGCATAATAAGCATGCTAGCCTTTCTAAAGGGCTTTTTTCTGAATTCCTGTAGAGTGGGCCAGAAAAACAAAAGCGTTGTATAATTAAAAGCATTTGAAACAAAACAAAAACACATTTTCATTTCATTTTTCCCCTGAAGTGAATTTATTACAAAGTTCATGAGGACTTACAGTATTACAGGAGAATTTGTCAACATGCGAAAACAGAAGAAAGTAGAACACAGGATTTGAACAAACTGTTAAGATAGGACAATCCACAGTTCACAATAAACATAAAAAACTGATTGAGTCCTCAGGAGGTGAGAGCCAGTGAATGACTACAGTGCAGGCAAAGAGCAGCCACATTCACACTGACCCAGCAAAGGTTAATCAACCAAGGCAAGATGTGCACATCTCAAAAAACATGGTACAATTTTTATATGCCATTGGCTTTTTGTCAGAGTTTTAGAAAGCATCACTTGTATGTACATAAAACTGTACAAAAACATAGCATCACGAGCAAATGTATCCTATATAAATATACCAACAATTAGGATAACAACTAGATTCTCTCTTGCAAAGACATTTTTCAAGGCAATCATCTTTGTTCCAGATGAACTGTGAAAACAAAAAAATATTTTCAATAAATTTCAGTTGTTTGGGTCACAAGGCCTTGTGATATTTCCGAAAGCAAAAACTGGAGCAGAGGAATGAAATATAGAAGAGTAAACAGTTTTGACCAATTATCTTTGGATTTCATGCTAAAATAATTAGCCTGCCTGATTGCAGACAAGTGTTTGTGGAGATATATGTACACTACACCGTCAACAGATTTTTTTTTTGCCCCCCCCCCACACAACTGGTATGTTAGTCCTTTATCTGGATAAAGTTAAAAAAAAAAAAAAAAAAATCTTGCCAGATTCCATAAGGTAGGTTGTCCATTGGTCCACAGAAATGATCACCACACAATATACAATACAGAGGCAAAATATACAGTATTTTAGAGAAGTAGAGCCGCACAGTGCAAGAGCAGCTTAAAAATCAGCTCGAATGTCTGCGATCGAAAAGCCAACAAAGTAAGATAAGTCACAAATCGGTTCCATGCCCCCAGGAGCACCTCCTCACCAGGGTGCTGCTGGACCCTGCATTCTACAGTGGGCTTGGTGCTCCTGTGGAACTTGATGATCACTGCACAATGAGTGCATCATTATCTTCCGTAAGCAATGATGGCGTTTGGGTTTTTTTTTCTTTTCTTTTCTTTTCTTTTCTTAGCACTGATCATTTTTTATTTTCAAAATAAAAGCTGCGGCTTTACTTCGGTGAAATACGATACTTGTGAATCAACACTAAATCAACGTTCATTACTAATGAAACATTATTTAACAGGCGTTGGTATAGATTCAGTTGCTTTCTTATGTACTCTTGGGAAAAGTCAGACTTAGGTAAATATTGTAGTGGAAGAATGTGGGAAAAATGTGTCAGAAAACATCCATGTTGCCGACGAGTGATTCCGTTTGATTGTGTCCTGTCACTGCGGATCAAAGAGATCAAACTGTGCATTCAACATTTGGAAACTCAAATGAGAGTACTACAAAAAAAACTACACATGATGAACTTAGGCTTTAAATTTTTTTTAGCCAAAGCCTTAAAAACTCAAGAGTTGGGTTTCCCGCCCTGCCATCTTTCTTATTTGTAATTTACTTTAGGTCAGCGGTGGTATTCAGTGTTTGTATATCATCTATCCACGGCTCTGTGATGGGAGCTCAGGGGAGCTGCGGGGGATTTAATCACAGTGCATTATGCCAGTTGTCTGAATTTTATTTTAGTTGCTAAATGCCTTTGAAAGTGGCATAATGTGCTTTCTGCCCCTGAAGGCAGGATAATTGCCCACCTTATTTAATTCTGGCCATGTCCAGTAATTTCCATATGTTTTCAGTTTAATTATTCCAAATGTACTTTTCAGTGGCAGGATGATGAGGTAAGTGCTGAGAAAAAAAAAAAAAAAAAAGAAAAAAAAAATACTCCGTTTTAGTGATAGTAGCTCTGCGGGTGCATTTACATCAGCTGGTTGGTGCCTCGTCCTGGGGGTGTACTCACTTATGCCCCAGCTCAAGACTCATTACTCACTGTAATTACCAAATGTCCAGTGCAGCCGTACTCAGGCACACAATTTGACTATGGTAATACTCTGCAGAGGTGATAGTTTTCTACAAATCTAATTAAATCAATGTTTAAATCAAAGGCACCAGCCTGCGCTGTCATGTTGCGGGCCAGGCAAGTGGAGCCCCCATTAACGACTCATTACTAGTTAATCTATGCTGTCTTTCCAACGTATCATTTAGAATTGATAGAAAAAAAAAAACATTTTTTAAAATGATCTTGTTGGTATGGCCTATTTCTTAACCCTTGGTTGGAGAAACCAGGAATTAAAAATGCAAATTTTTGAACTGAAACCAGGAATTAAAAATGCAAATTTTCGAACTTCGCAGACGATAAAGCGACACAACTGATGTTTATCTTTTCATATTCTTGAACTACTGATAATGACTTTAAATCAGTTCTCAGAACCATTTGTTCATCAGGC